ATATATGGCTCTCTGTGTATGTCTGTCAATTCGAGTCGTGTCTTGCCGTGTCGTGTCGTGTCGTGTCGTGTCATGTCGTGTTTTATGCACGTGTTCACATTGTTGTCTCTCGAGGTTTTTCTCCGCTTCATTTGTGAAAAACTCATTAAAGCTGAAGCGCGCGTTTCTTTGACTCTCTGCCTGGGCCAAGGTTTTTACCTAGGCTTACCCTTGCCAACTTGCCAACTTGGCTGCTTGCCAGCTTGCCAGCTTGCCTGATGGCCTGACTTGGTTAGCCGATAAGACGCAGAAAGACTGCAACACAGACTCCTACACTCAGACAATTTAGTAAATTGCCCCAAAAATTAGTCAAGTCTTTTTACAACAAATTTATAAATATAGCAAAACATTTTTCTCAAATTATTCTCAATTATTTTGAACAGTATTTTGTGGTCTTTTTCAAAAAGATAGAGATGCAAACATTGACTCTTCGAAGAAATGTAAGAAATCTTCTTTGGACACACTTTGAAAACCACTCTCTGGAAATTAGGAACATTATTTTTAAGCTTTTGAAAAATACTCCCTGAAATTAAGAAAGAAAAGCTGGTTTTTAGAAAGTGACCATCTTCAATTTTAGACATTTTATTTCTGACTAATCAGAATCTTAAATTCAGTTTGATTTATTTTTTGACGAGTGTACAACGCAGACTCCGACTCCGACTCCAACTCCCACTCCGACTGCGACTCCCACTACAGCTGCTGCTCCTACTGCTGCTCCCATGAGTTGTGTGGCACGCGTAGGCGTTGCCCATTGAGCATAATGCATAATGCTGTTTCACGGTGTGCAAAATGTTAACGAATTTTCACAACGGCAACTCATTCGATTCCACCAAGTGCAGTTTTTCCAAGCACGGCCAGCATATCAAATCGTAGGCCCGTAATTATTACCCAGGCCAGACCAGGCCAGGCCGCCTTCGATTGTTGACAAGCAATTTGCAGGCGGCCAACATTTGCAAGAGATCTTGGCTCAAACTGAAGCTCAGCTGTGCGTCTGTTTGGGGTCACAAAGTTGCTTAAAGTGCACATAACTCTTTGTTATTTTCATTATTCTTGTTGTTGTTGCTGCTCTGTGCATTGTTGTCGCATTTGATTTAAGCATTTTTCGCCAATTGTTGCTGCCATTTTATGTTCGCTGATGTTGTTGTCCATAAATATTGAAGTCAAGGCCCTGCTTTGTTTTCAATACTTGTGGGGCCATTTTTTGACACAGATGCAGTTAAGAGATTAACGGTTTAACAGGCTGCAACAAGTGGCCTTTCCATTTGTTGCTCGTTTTGCTGCTGCAACAAAAGCCAAAAACAAACTTCAGCCAACATTTTTGCATGCCGCACAACGGACGAAAAACAAACAGCAAATCAAAATATCCCCAACGAAATTGAAATCTTCAAACTTCAATCAAAGCGTGCGCCCCAAAAAAAACACACATCCATCAATTGTCAGCTGCAACAGCAACAACAACAACAACAACAACAAATTACCAGCAACATGCACAGGAGACAGGCAAAAATTGAAATCATCAACAGAAGCGCGAGGCTGGCGAACCAGTTGAGCTGAGCCAAATGACAGGGGGGTGCTGGGTGCTGGGGGGTAAGTTCACTTCATTTGCATACCCTGTAACTATGTGAAAGGCTTATAAGGGGTTTCGTGACACATAATCAGCAGAAGCAGATAGCTCTGAATCCATTGAGAATATGTCTTTTAGATCAGGCCTCAAATCAATTTTCAATTCTGGGTGTTAACCCGAAAACTCAACTTTAACGATGCCGAAGTGGAACCAGTTAGGAAATATAACATTATTTTAAGGATTAGTTAAAATAAGATAACTCTTTCTATATGCAGAACCCTCCAGTTCTTTCATAAGATTTCAAATTTTAACATATCTACGGGAAATCTCTGAGCATATTTAATTGTGATTTATGTATGTGATTTACAAGTTCAGATATATCTTCTCCCTCCCTCTCTCTCTCTCTCTCTCTCTCTCTCTCTCTCTGTCTGTTTATCTCTCTCTCTCTCTCTCTCTCTCTCTCAAACCAAAACCGAATACTAAACACAAAATTAGGAACCTTTAGCCTTTATCAGAACTCTTACAGATTACGCAATGGAATCGAAAACGAGTTCGAGATAAGATTCGATTTGACACCTGGACACAAAAGCAACACAATTTAAATCCCAAACTTGTTCATATAATTTCTATTAGGACAATATTCCACAGGATATCTGTGCATTGAACACATTGCGTTGCAAGGCGCTCTCGACAGCATTTGATATCCGCAAATCGGTGCATATGACGCTGATTAACACCGCATTACATGCCCCAAAGGCGGCAAACTGCAATTGAAATGTTGCACTGTCCATTAGAGTAGAGGCTGCAACTCGAGTCGCGTCGAGTCGCGTCGAGTCGAGTTGAGTTGAGTCGGCGGCGTGTGAATTTATCCAGCAAACATCTAGCGACTGCTTCGGCTGCTCCCAGCAAAATGAGCACTCATTTCCATATCCACTATTGCGCCAACTAGCAAACAGCAAATAGCAAACAGCAAATAGCAAATAGCAACTTGCAACTTGCGCAGTTTTCAAGTTGCAAGCAACTAGCTGCTGGCTGCAGGCTGCTGACTGCTGGCTGCTTGCTGCTTACTGCTGCCTGTTGGCTGTTGCACGTGCAACGCTTAAATAAATAGTATTCGTAATAGAGGCTCGGCCAGCGTCAACTTTTGTTATCGTTCCTCCTGTTCGCTGCGACTCTGTCGCCTACGTGAACATGAGCCCAGCACAGTGGTGCACATATCAAATATCGCTGATTCACATCGATTCGACTGCATTTGAGCATTACCTGATTTTGCTGTATATATCATGTGTAGAAGGTTTCCTCTACTCTATTTACTCTATTTCCAAATCAATAAAGGGTATATTGGGATAGTTTAAAATCAATTTGCGAGTATTAGCTTAGTCACCATTCTTACAGAGTTCGTCTTAACAATCAGCTTAATATTAGTTTTCGATTTTTAGTCTTAGTTTTAGAGTCTGTTTGGCAGTATTTGTGTAACAGTCTCAGCTTGAAAATCTCTGTTTAAAAGTCTTTCCTCTGAGAGCGTTTGACCAATATATTTTCTGATTTCAAGTCTCAGCTTTGCTGGCCTGTTCATTGGATTACTTTTTGCATAATAATATATCAATATAAAATATATTAGACTATCTTAACGTTTATATTAATCAATTAGGGAAGCAACTCGAGACTCTGTGCAGTATTCTGTGCCACTGTGCACTAGCTGCAATTTATGACTGATGATGCGAGTTGTTTCAGTGCCTGCTGGCGCTTTTGGCAGTTGTTGCTGTTGCTGCCACATAAATCAAAATGTGTCATAACTAGCCACAAACAACAGCAACAGCAACAACAGCTCAAATTCGCGCAAACAACAAGCAGAGCAACACCTTCTAAATTGCAGAGGCGGCTGCCACAGATTATTGCACATTGCACATTGCACATACGCAACGTGCGCCAATAGAAAATTCGAGAGAGAGAGGGAGAGGGCAGAGGGGGAGGGGGGGGGCCCAGTGTTGTTGCACTGTTGCGTGTCTTTGCCCTTAAGTAGACGCACATTAATTCCAATTAGAAAACATCAACGCTGGCAATTGAAAACTCGTTAAAGTTCATTACCTTAAAATGACCATGCAGACAGCAAAAGCAGCAACACAAAAGACAACAAATAACAGCAACGACAACAACAACAACAACTGTATCTGTCCAAGCGTCCAATGCCAGTCACAATCTTGTTAGCCAGTCTTTTTGTGTCTTTGTGGCATTTGTTGCGTTGTCGTGCTACATTTAAGGAGCTGCCTGCCGCAGCGTTCAGCGTTCAGTTTGCCGCAAGTGCGCATTGATTTGTTGCAATTGACATAACAATTGAAAATGGAGCCAGCCACTTAGCCTTGCCTCGCTAATAAGTATTCTTCACATTTGATTTTGACTTAGAGGGAAATGTTTTTTATACTTGTTGTCGCCGTTTTCATCGCTTTTATCGTTGTCTTTGCGCTGACATTGAAACTGTCATAATATATTTTTAATAATTTATGTTCATTCAGATAAGCTGCGGCACAAGGGGCAAGCATAAATGTTAAAGGTAGCAGCGGCAGCGGCAACGGCAACAGCTGAAAATTTATGGCTGACCCAGCCTTGAGTGCTGCATTCCCCCTCTGCAGCTGCCACTGCCACTGCCCCTCCCTCTCTCTCTCTCTGTCTCTCTCTCTCTGTCTCAATGCAATTCTACACGCCCTGCAGCTGAAAAATCACGCATACGCCCATTTGTCCTCTGCTATTGTACATAATCATGTCCAGGGCTAAGCACATTTCATGCTCACTTCTTCAATGCGAACCAAATTAAAGACAAATAACTTGTTTTATTGAAAGGGTTTTATGCATTTGTGCAAATGAGGAAGCAGCTGCGATCCCTTATATATATATGCAAAATAAAATAAATATATATATGCCTGATTCGTAGGAAAAGTCGAGCAGATTTAGCCATTTATATCTGTCTGTCTGTCAGCCAAGCTCAGAGACTATTCTCGTAATTCATACGAAGATAAAGCTTATTTAATTGTTATTGATAACTAAGATCGAACACAGATTTGGTTCCACAAAATTACCTATTCGATATTTCTAATTTGCTTATCCGCCAAGCCAACATTTTCTCTCAGCCAACACAATATGGCCAAGTGACGTCGCAATCAATGAAGACCAGAAGATATGCAATTGATTCAAATCAGCTGTGGGCTGTTGTTCATTTAAATGCACAAATGAAACCAGATTATGGCAACTGACTTGTAATTTCTTGGATTACTTGTTTCTCCTTAATAATTTGAAGCCAACTTATGGCAACTGACTTGCTTTGCTTTATTTATTTATGTCAAGTTGAGAACTGACCTTGATCTTGAACTTGGATTAGATATACATATAGATTAAGGCTTACCGCTCCATTTCCTTGGCATCTGTGGGAGAGTTGCGACTGATGGTGTTCGTCTCATAGGGATCCTCGGTGGTGGTGGTGCTGCTGGTGCCCACCGTGCTGGGCGCCGTTGTTGTAAAGCTGTAACCCCTGCGAGCCGGCACCAGCGGTGGCACAGTGCCCATTGTCAGGCCTGGTGTGATGGCGCGACGATTGAGATTCGGCGGTGGTGCAGCGGTGGTTATGGCCGGCACATATTCATAGCCACGCCCACCTCGCCCACGACTACCGACGCCAATGAACTCCACATCGCCCGTGTTGTCCTCACCTTTGCCTGCATAGGGGGAGACGGGCGGCGGAGGTGGTCCAAAAGTGTTGGTATAAATATTATATGTATTGTGATCCCATTCGGAACTCTGATGATGTGGCTGCTGATGCAGGCGACGCGTCAGGACTTTGTTGTACGGATTGTGGGCATAGTGATGGAGGCGACGGAGCCGTGTTGTTGAGTCTGTGGCACGTTGAGGCGGTTGTGGCATTGTTGCGCCCGGCAACAGTTCCACCTCCGATTTGACATGATGACGATGCGCTCGATGCAGGCGTTGGTGGTGCAAGCGGGTGTTGTTGTGGTGGTTGTTATTGCGGTTGTTGTTGTTGTTGTTCGGGCTACCTGTTGCTGCTGTGATCAGCAGCAGCAACACTGTGGCGCACAGCAACAGCATCATTCTCAGCGTCATCTCAGCCAAAATAGCAACTGCAAATAGTACAGAAACAGGAATAATTTTATTAAGTGCTCAAAATAAAAATAAAAGCAAGTAAATAAATAAATAAATAAATAAAGAGGATGGTGCTGCAGAGAGACATTCACTTTCCGTAAGTTAAAACTCATTCAAATTCACATTCTTAGTCACCTCGGTTAATGTAAGCAACAAGGCGGATCAGAAGTGACAGTCCCCCTTCTCCGACTCCAACTCCAACTCCAACTTGACTAGATATATATATATATATATATATACACACAACGAGTATCCTCCACGCTCATTAACAATTCCTTTGTCCCACAGTCGTGCCAATCTGTCTGTCTGTCTATCTGTCTGTCTGTCTATCTGTCTGTCTGTCTGTCTGTCCATCAACAGGCTTCGTAGTTGTATAATTTAATGCCTGAAGTTGCATAAGCAAGCTGCAGATAACTGCAACTAAACCTAGTCGGAGTTATATTGCAAGCAGCTGACAACTACAACTATCGATAAAAATCGTTTATACTATCTACTGATATCGATAAGTAATCAAAATAGACAATATTTTCACATTTAACTTCAACTAAACACAGCCTGAGTTGGATTATAAACAGCTAGCAACTATACAAATCGATTAGAATCGATTACATTATCAAGTTTTATCGATAGTCATGAAACTAAACAAAGTTCGCTGGTTGTGTTGGAGTTCTTCGCAAAACAAATAACAGACAACATTTTTCTATTGAGTAAATTAAATCGTTTAACACTCAAATAATTGCTTAATACTTTGCTGCCTCCTCTGGCCATTTAATATTTTAACAATTAATCTTTTACGACTGCATACTACACACTTTGCAAGACATTATGAACTTCGAGTTAATGAGTTAACAGTTTGTACTAAATCCAAGCCATATCCACACACAATTTGTTGTTGCAGCGCACACATAACATCTGAGAAAACAATACTATCTGCAACACCCCCAACTGATCAGCTATAAACTCGTAGCTCTTGTTTAACTCTACTCTGCAGTTTAATATTTATTTTATTATTTATTTGTTTAGCTCGTTGCTCGTTGCTCGCTTAACGCTTAAATCATTATAGGAGAGCATTTAAAAGTCTTTGCCAGCAAATGATCTTTATAACCTGAACGAACACATGCAAAATGGGTGAAAGGGGTTTGATGGAATTGTGCCAAAATATGTAACAGGCAGAGGAAAGTACTTACGACCCATTTAAGTATATATAATGCTGATCAGAAAAACCAGCAGATATTTAGTTTAAATAAGCCGATCTCAGAGATTATAAGAATTAGAAAAATTCTAAAAAGATCAAATTCATGTCATTTTATCCATATACAGATACAAACTTATCAGTGATAGCAATTAAAGTAACAATTTCAAGCATTTACTATTGTAATCTATAATTGATATACTTTAAAATTACATTGATAATCTGTACAAACTTCATCAGCATCGATTGAGAAATACACAAGAAAATCCCATTTTCAAGCAAGCATTTTCTATGACGTACAGGGTATCTGCCAGTCGAGCGCACTCAACTAGAGCATTCCCACTTGATTTTTTTCATGGTCGAGTGGCAACACTTCAATAATCCACAAACAGGGAGAGAGAGAGAGAGGCAAAGAGAAGAAAAAGAGAAGACAAAGGCAATTTGTACGAGGATGACTTTGTTGTATTATTATTATTATTGTTATTATTATGCTTGTTATTATTGTCATTGTCATTGTTGCTGCTGCTGCTGCTGCTGCTGCTGTTGTTTGCAACAAAAGAACGCGTTAACAGTTAAGTGAACCGTCAGCAGTCCAAAAAACTGATCTGAAATTAATTAAAGTGTTGTGAAGTGAACCGAAAACCGGAAGTGAAGCGATTCTCAATTTTTGGCAGCGCTTTTGTTTCGATGCCAGCAGCATTTTTATGGCATTTATCAAATTTTCCAGTTGCCAGTTGCCAGTTGGCGCATCATTTGTCAACACGTTGCCTCCGCCTCCAATCACACCCCCAACTCGCCCCTATTCCCCCAGTGATAATTACAATTACAGTTGCTCAGTGAGCTGATTAAAATTCATTGCTTGTGGCAGACATCAAATTGAATTTATGGGGCAGCTCATTAAACTTCAAGTTGGCCTAACACATGTTACACTTGTGTCTCTCTAACTTGTTATTATTTTTGTGTTTTTTTGTTGTTCCAATTAGAGAGCAATTGACAAACAAAAAGAAAAATGTATAAAAAAGAAATAAACGAAACTGGTCAATGACAGCAGCCACTGCACGCTTACCAATTGCTGTGGCTAATTAAAAATTAACTACCAAAATAATAAAAAGAGATGAGACACAAGTCAAGAGTTTGAGTGTGAAAAAGAGAGTGGCTGGCGACTGCTGCAATGTGTTGCAATCGATTGCGGCTATAAACTTCTTTGGAGACGACTCCGCTTGCCACAACACATCAGGTGCGGCCTAAAGCCTTCAGCCGCTTAGTAAGTGAAACCCCCCTCAACAAAAAAAGGCTTGACTGCCTGTCTGTCCGAGTGTCCGCGAGTCCGGCTGTCAGTCAGACTGCCAAAATATTCAACTCTTCTGCCATGCCATGCACTGTGAAAAAATGTTATGTAATCCGGAGTAGGCTTAAACTTGAATTTCAATTCAAGCCAACACTTGTTTATTTAAGTTAGATATTTTAAAATTGTATCTCAAGGATATACTTGAAAAAATATGAGATTAAAAATGCTCTGCTTGAAAAAGAAATGGAAAACATTTTGGGAGTTTAAAACTAGATTCAACAACTATTTGATTCAACTAAATATTATTAATTTTAAAGAAATATCTAATCAAAAATTTAAATTAAAGTTTATTTAATTAAATATGTTGAGCTTAATACTGTTATTTATTTGCTGTGCAGAAGTCCAAGCCCCTTGGCTCAGTTGTCATAACTTTTCAGTGAATATTCCACGAATTAAACCAAAAAGGTTTTGGGGCGCCTCGCTTAATCAAAACGGCAGACAAAAAACCAAAAAAACAGAAAAAAGACAACAACCACAAATGCTTGAAACGTTTTCCACTGAAATCTAAGTTCAAAGCTGCGTTGACAACTAACTCCTCGCCTTGACCTTGAACCCCGCCCCGTCCCCGCCTGTGCCGTGCCCCCACAAAGCTAGCCGCTTGCCAAAATTGGTCAGGGCACAGATAAATCAGGCAGCCAATCTGTCTGTCTGTCTGTCTGCCTGTCGGTCAGTCTGTTGTGGGTCGCGGCTTTAAGCAAAGGCAAAAGATCGCCAAATATTTTGATATATTTCTAATTTTTGGCATTGGGTCTGACTGAGTTTACCTGCTTAGCTGGAATTTATCCATAAAAGATATGTTTCTGTGTGTGTGTGTGTGGGGGGGAAATTAGTGTGTGTCTTGTATTGTTATTGATTCGTTTTCCCAAGACATAAATCACAAGTGAAATGCTGCATGCCTCAGTGCCGCAGAGGCGTAGACGTGGCCCAAACTAAGCAGCAGCAGCAACAGCAACAGCAGCAGCATTCTCAGCATCAAAATGTCAACTTTATTTTTGTCAAACTGACAAGAATCACACACACACACACTGATATGTGGGTGTCCATGGTAGTAGTGTGTGTGTGTGTGTGTGTATGTTGTGTGTGTGTTGTGTGTGTGTTGTGTGTGACTTTTGGTTGACCCAGACATGAGCTATGGCCAATGAATCACAAGAGATGCGAGAAGCAGACGTAATATATATATATATATATATATATCTTTTTGGTGATATACTAGCACATAAGACCCTAGCAGCCACAGCAGCCACAAGCACACAGTGATCACTCCAAATGATGAATCACAATTAGAAACTAAATTATTTATGACTAATGAATAGGCAGACATCGTCGTCATCTAAATACCCAAAAAACCTATCGTTTCAATATTAATAAATACTTATATATAATATATAGCTATCTGAGCAAACGATAAGTTTTTTATAATCATGTTTAGAGTATAATTTGCAAGTATTTATAATCTTGTTGAGTTGGGCTCAGTCAACTTATTAACCAAATAATATATATAATAACAATAATTCGTCCTTCGACAATTTGTTCCTATGTCAGCTATATGATATAGTAGTTCGATCTAGATGATTTTTTGTCCAAGTGCTAGAAGCATTCTAATATGCATATTGGATAAGTTTGGTTGGAACTATCTGGTGAATATAAAAGTATTTCATACAAGAACTCAGCAAAAGGATGCTAAAATTATTTATTAAGAAATAATTCCAATAAATATCACATTTAAACTTACTTTTAAGTGTTATCTTATTATAAAAGTATGTGTAATAAATTCGAAATAAATATTAGAATTGAACTATCTTTTCAACTGTATTTTAGAAGTCTATCAAACTAATCGCATTTTCACTAAATCGTCTGTCCACTGTACAAAAAATGCGTTGTCTGTGCAGACACAAATAATTATTTATATATATATATATATTCAAAAACATATATATATAAATATATGTATATGTGTATAATTCTATGAAGATCGCACAGTTGGTCCGCCTCTGGATTCTTTATGCTTTTGCTGCTGCTGCTGCTGCTGCTGATGTTGTCTAGGAAATGTTCCGGGAATGCTCGCATCATTTTATTAATAAAACTTTTGCATTTCTCCATTAATCATTTAGCTAGAGAGAGAGAGAGAGAGAGAGAGAGAGAGGGGGGCAGGCTGCTGCTGCTGCTAAACATATATTGCAATTGCTTAATTATCGTGGGCATTAATTTTGGACTCTCCACACAGATTTGTTATTCATTTTTTCTTTTGGTTTTCAAAGCAAATCGCATTGAGTTTTTGGCGGGTGCTCAACCCGTTTAAGACCAAAGAGTTTAGGTGTTTATGTGTTGGTGTGTTGGTGTTAA